CCAGGATCCTTTGTGCTGGCCACTCTTCTTGCTTCTGCTGCTAATTCCAGGAGCTGTGAAGACGGGCCCCCACCCCAAACCCACTCAGCTGTAAAATATGCAATTGTATGGTGGGAAGAGGCTGTCTGTCCAAGGATGGTGCTGACATCACTGCCTTAAGGTCTCCGCTGTGCAGAAGGAGGAAGCCCAGCGCTGGGTGTTCTAACGTAGAAGGAGGAGGCCCAGCGCTGGGTGTTCTAACGTAGAAGGAGGAGGCCCAGCGCTGGGTGCTCTAATGTAGAAGGAGGAGGCCCAGCGCTGGGTGTTCTAACATAGAAGGAGGAGGCCCAGCGCTGGGTGTTCTAACATAGAAGGAAGGGAAGCCTGGGGGGCCTACTTTGGAGCTATGTCTCGCGAAGCCCTCTCCTAAGCTCCAGTCCCGTGGCAAGGGGGATGGCCTTGGAATGCCATCTCCAGTTGATGGTTGAGGCCTTCACTCTGTTTTCTGGTGCTGCCCAGCCAGTGCCTTCTGATAGGAATGTTACTGGCCACTTGAGAAAAAGGAGAGGGGAGAACCTCTTCTTCTATTCCAACTGCCTCAGGCCCCTCCAAAGGAATTCTCATCTCTTGTAACCATGGATACCACCATGAATTCTCTTTGGATCCCCAGCAGGTTGGTTCTGGAGGCCTCTCACGCTGTGACTTTTTCTTCTCCTGGACCCACCACCCTCTGCTCTCGGTTGACTGCTGCATTTAACCCAGGCCTCCGGCTGCTTTTTTCCACCAAGCGTGTTTGCATCTAGCAAGGTGACCCTGTAGCCTCAGGTTTCCCTCTGGAGCCTGGCACCCTGTTTACAGTTGCACCACGAGGCCCCTCCCTGTGGGGACCACTCAGCTCATAAAGGAACTCGTGGTTGCATGGCAACTGCAGAAGGTGGAGCCTCTTCCTGGTGCTATATAACCTGTTGGGATGCTCAACCAGACTTCTCCGAAGCAGGACTCCTGAACCCCAGCCCGTCACTGGTCTCGCATTGAGGGCACAAGCAGATCCACAGCACCTTCTGCCACCTTGCTTCTCAGCTGAGGCTCCTGAGACCCCTCCGAAAAGAAAGACTGTAGACAGGGTACATTCTCAACCCTGAGATGCCTTCCAAGGATTCCACCCTAGGATCAGGAATCGTGCTGCCCCTTCCTCTCCAGCTCCCACTGCAAACCTCACCAAAGCTAGTCAGCAGGTGACGGGGTCCAGCCCCCAAGCCCCGCCTATGGGGAGACCCACCACCCCAGGAGCAGTTCTTCAGCAGAGCCCCTCTCAGTTCTGGCTGAGGACGACCCACCAGTCTTGTCCGATGTACTTGGTTTTCAGTCCCTGCCTAGGTACTGAACATAAAATACCAGGTCCTTGGAGGCTAATATGGGACCTGCGTGTGAAGATCCTGGGAGCTCCTCTTCTCCGCACCCCCCATCCCACCCTGAGTTTACTGTTTCCTATCTTCTCAGGCTTCATAGAGTTGGTTTTTGTTTCTGTTTTGTTTTTAATTTTTCAAACTCTATGCTTTGTAGCCGCTCTCTGGTGCTTATCCCTATCTCTTGTCGGTCTTGATAGCAACGTCTTGTCCATGTGTCTAACGGCTGGAAGCCAGAGGCTGGCAGAGGAGACCGTGTGTAGACGTCCAACGGGGAGACCTGCAGTGAAGTCCTTATTGGGCCGTGTGCTGGTTTGGGTTTTCAATTACAAACCTTTCTATTAGTCTACCCGTACTCGTTAAGAATGTAGGCAAACGTGACTTTTCTGTTTGTTTCTAATGGTTTTCTTGCTTTACAAGACTCCCAATCTTGTCCCAATCCCAGCTCCCCATCTTTTCACTCCTCACTCCCTGAGACGAGGGTCACACTCTGCTGAAGGTGCACCCCCCCCCTATTTCCTGCCCTGCTTCAGAAGAGTCGGAAAGGGGTAGCCATAGCCCGCTGTTCTCAAAAGCACCTGAGAAGATACCCAGTAGCCAGACAGACAGCCTATCAGTGGCATTTGCCTACAAATAATGGGGGGCAGGGGGGGACCCAGTCTGGCAAACCGGACCAGGGAGCTGGCTACATGAGACCGTAAGGATTCTCTTTGTGAGGGGAAGTCCTACACTAAGTACAGGGTTCAGCATTGAAGTAACCAGGATCACTGGGTGCCACTCCTCCCCCTCCATCTTTTCTCTCTTTAATGAGCCCTAAATCAGCTGTCACCAAGAAACCAAGCTCGGGGATGGGATGGAAAGTGCTTTGCAGAGGATTTATTAATGGCGACGAAGACACTAATGAAAGACCAATACACTCTTAAGGTGATTGTACTAACTGGTTCACAGTCCCATTGAAGATTCCAGAAGTACTACCATGACCTGAAGGGCATTCTTCCCAAAGGCCAAAGCTCAAAGATACTGCCCTCTGTAATCCAATCAGCCTTATATAGCCATCCTGGCCAGCAGGGATTCATGGGGCTTCCCACCTGGCCCTCCCGTCTGCCCAGGCTGACCGTGTGCACCTCTGCTCAGCCACACCCTAGCAAGCAAGCACTGCCAACCACAGGTTGCCAACCACGGGTCCTGGGAATGTTGGCCGTAAACTGAAAGGCGGGATGGTCTTCAATTGAGAAAGCAATCAAAATGTGGAAGCTAGAGGGAGACCAAAACAAGTGAAAATTAAACCTCGGTAGACTAGGTCATTCCCGCTCGGTGTTTGTACCATCGTTCTTAATGATGGCACCATGGAGACTCATGAATGGCAAAGATGGTCATGGAGGCAAGTGACACCCCGCCCCCCATCCCTTCACGCTACCCACCCTTTTCACTCAGTTCTCAAAGGGTAGTCCCAAAACAGCAGCATCGACATCAGAACGTGTTCTGATTCAGGCTTGCTGAATCAGAACCTCTCGGGACAGGACCAAGGAACCTGGATTTTAACCACCTTCCACTGAAGACTGCGGCTCTGTGCGGACAGGACAGCCACTTCGCAGAGTCCCTACCCAGAAGGGCTTTAAGACCAAAAATAAGAAGGTCTTAGGTGACAATTCAAGGAGCCCTGGTGGTGCTGTGGCTTAGGCTTGGAATGCTAACCTCGGCGTCAACAGTTTAAGCCCACTGGGTGCTCTCAGGGAGACAGATGAGTCTGTCTGCTCCCATACAGATTTATAGTCTCAGAAACCCTGTATAGGGTGCTATGGGTCAGCATTGGCTCTGTGGCTGTGGGTTTAGTTTGGGTCACAAATCACTTTATAATTCCCAAGTCACCTTTCTCATGCTTGTGTTGGTTTTTCACCTTATTTCCACAAAGAAATAAAAGATGTGTGTGGGAGGGGGGTGGGCAGAAGTCGGGAGAGCGCATCTTTCCTCTTTGAACACAAGGGGCAGTGAGGAATCTCACGCCTGTGAACTTTCTACCTGGCCCTGGACCCCTTCTCCAGACAGAAGCAGTGGGAGGTCTCTTCCAGATGGCTCTTCAGCTGGATTGTATGTGTCTACGCTGAACCTTTTTCTGATTATGTAACAATGGAACAAAGAAAAATAAAAAATCTAATTTGTATTTCCATGACAACTTGTTCTCCCCGGGGTCATACCAACCCTCCCCCCCCCACCACCACCCCTTATTTGCACTGTAAGAGGCAATGCAGGGCCTGAGAACCTGACCAGACTCTCCTTCCCCCCAGGCAGGCAGAGAAGAGTAGTGGGGTTCGGTAACCCCAGGCAGGCCGCTTCTCCAGGCTCTGCTCAGCAAACGGGAGGTTAGCATGATGCAAGACAGTACTGGGCACTGAAGTCCTTGGGCTCATCCCCTCCCTACATCAGGTCCTGGAGACAGAACCACCCAGTCAAAGGAAGTAAATAGGACACCACCAGGACCAACCCTGGGGGGGCGGGGGGGGGGGGCAGGGAAACCTGACAGTAGCTGCTTATCTTCCCAAATTCAGATTCCCGCTGATGAGGCCCAGAGAAAGAAGGGGCCATTGAGAACTGGGTTTTGTTGCATGTTTGCAAATTTCCCCCGAGGTTTGAGGTTGAGAAAGTAGCACTAGACCACTTGAGCCCTGGAAACCGGCAAGCCGGAGGGCAGCGTGTGTCAAGCAATGAACGCTAACCCGCACTGCCCTCTGGGGTGGCCTGAGTTGAGCTGACGTGATGTCCACAGATGGGGCCAGGCAGATCCTTTGGTCCTTTCCTCCTGTGGGCACTTCCTGCTTCCCGGCCATTCCTCAGACGGAAGATGGGTCCTAGGAAAAGAGGGCTCATCGCAGCCAGTCTCTGCGCTCCGGCTGTGCAGGGGCCTCACACTCCCTCGTGTTGGTGTTCGTTCTGTTTCGTTTGGGGACCAATCTCCCCTTTTTAAAAAACTAAAGTCCAGCCCCTACTAGATATCTTTCCTCCAGCCCCTCCCCATCCATTTCCGTGATGGGGTCTGTTTCCCTTGAACACGTGGTGTTGCTCAGGTGGAGGGTGGGCAGGTATTTTTGCAACACCTGTTTGTTGTGTGGTTTCTTTGTGTTGTTTTTTTTAATTATTGGGTGCAGAACCCCAAACCAGGAACTATGTGTGTTTATGTTTTCTCCCATTTGACCTTTCCCTCTTTGAACCCTTTTATAGCGAATGTAGAGAGAGCCGAACTGAGTCTGGACGCAAAACTATGTACTATTAGTTGCAGTAACAATCAAGAAGAGATCTCGGCTGTCCCTCAGCAAATCGTTTCTTTAAAAGTGGTTGAAAATGAAATCCACACCAGGGCCAATGGAAGAGGCCTTCCGCCGTCACCATCAGAGGGCCTCTGTCCACCAGGCATGTCTCCTCCTGCAAGATTCATCTGTTCGATGCCATTTGCGTTTCAATAAAGATATCTCCTGTATCGTCCACTCCATCTCTCTCGCTCCCTCTCTGCCTGGTTTCTGTTTCCATTTACCTCATGGTCCATTCCTTGATGTGGAAGGTGAGACTGTGGGTTACCTCTCTGCCAGGAACCGGTTATGGGAAGGGAGGAAAGAGTTGTCTCTCCTGGTATGTTTTGGTCACAAATCCATCACCAGAACCCAAAAAGTTGAGTCCCCAAGCCAGGGCTCTCAAGTCTTCCATCCACTACCACAATGGCTGAAGAGATACCACTCCACAGACTTTCCTCAATTGCCATCTTGGGGTCAACATGAATGAACCTAGTAGCCAAAAGGCCTTTCTAGTGGAGGTCAGCTTCTCTATGCCTCTCAAAGAAGGGGACAAAGCAGTCCAGATTACCACCCCCACCCCCCACCGGCAAAATGACAGGGTCCAAAAGCAACCTTTTTCCTATGAGGCAGGGATAAAATACCCACCTGTGCCCTTTCAACATTCGAGGTTAAAAAACAAAAAACGCTTACAGCTTTCCTCAAAAAGAATCGACTCGGGACTCTGAAGGTGAGGATGGTTAACAGTTTTGCATCGACACACAATGCTAACTGGTTTCTTTTGTCACTTGCAAACGAGTCACAGTTCCTAGAAACCATTTTTAAGGCTTTCACTCTGAAGAGCTGACTAAGAAACGCCTGTTCTCTGCTCTAGAACCTTCCACTCCAACAATTAATGCCATGCCATTCCTCCTACCAGGACGTGCTTGCCTTTCCGCCATGCTGCAGTTTTAGTCCTTGGAAACCCCCGCACCTTCACCGTTACTTAGCAATGTTGCCTCACCTTGAGCCCTTTGCTACAATCAGCTGCAGATCATCACCCCGTTTTTATTTCCCCCATCCCTTAAACGTAATTTCTCAGCTAATATGATTCATGCTCCAATTGTCATCTGTGCAAATGCTCTAGAGGCAACAGCTGTGCACGGGCGATTGCTCTCCACCAGCCACTTTCCAGTTTTGCTACCAGGCTCCTCGACCAAAGCCACCCTTGGTTTTCTAGGGTGGCCACCTTCCATTGCCCTGTTGGCTTCGTTTCTTTTCTCCCTACATTTGGGTTCCTAAGAGATGAAGAATCAACCCGTCTCCTCAAAGCCTCTCCGTCTATTCCAACGCCACCTCCTCTATCCGTGGATCTAAAGTCAGGTAGCAGTTTATTCCAAATGAGGTTGCTAACTTAACGTGCAACCTTAGAAAAGCTCTGAGACAAAGTTTGCACATGCAGCGAGGCTTACGGAGAGCGGTGCCGTTTCCGCTCCGACGGTAGGCGGCGCTGTCCGGGGAGGCCTACGCCCATTCCCCGCCTCTTTCCCGCGCCCGCCTGACTCTACTGCGCAGGCGCGGCTTCTGCGATTGGCCGCGCGCGGGCGCCGTCATTCGGTGGCGGGTCCCGACCACGGGGCTGGTGGGCTGAAGGGAGGGAAGATGGCGGCGGCTGGGGCGGCTTCGGGGTTGCCGGGTCCCGTGGCACAAGGGTTGAAGGAGGCGTTGGTGGATACCCTCACCGGCATCCTGTCCCCGGTGCAGGAGGTGCGGGCGGCTGCCGAGGAGCAGATTAAGGTGCTGGAGGTGACGGAGGGTGAGTGAGGCGGGAACAGAACGAGGATGGCTCGGACCTGGGCCGGCCGCACCTTCCGCTGGCCGTCGCCTCGAGCCGCTTGGGGCGATGGGGAGTCTGGGCCCGTGGGCACCTGGGCACCGGGGCCGGCGGGCGGGAGTGGGGCAGCAAGTAGGGCGGGGATGTCGGTGGTGGCCCTGAAAGTCCCGGGGAGAAAAGGCGCGCCCGGAGGAGAGGGTCGGGAGGTGGCGGCGGGCCGGCCGGTGCCGGGCATCTGGAGAGGACCGAGATGGAGCTGGACTCGGTGGTGCTCGAGGAAGTTGCGCGGCGGCCTGGGAATTATTTTGTGAGTGTATGGCCGGGGCCTGTTGCTGTTGGCGTCACCGGTCCGGTTGTACGAGGCTGGGAGTAGCGGGAGCTAGCAGTAGAAGCGGAGAGAGGGACGAGCCTCGATCCAGTGGCTTGTCGCCCAGTAGAGCTGCTGAACCAAGTTTCTGCCTCACGGGCGTGTGTCCGCCCCAGGTTTCCCGAGAAATCCAAAGTCTAGGCATATGCCGCTACTTCACCTTCCCGACCATGTTTTCCAGTTCGTTGGTTTGGTTTGGTTTTGTGTTTGGGAAATAATTTGCACTTATTAAAGATCCCTCGTGTGCCTGTTCATCTGGAGGAACTTGATCATCCTTTGTCTTTACTTCTCTGCCCCTCGTCCCCCTATCTGATGCCTGAAAGTGACGGCGGAGAAAGAAAAGAGAAATTTGATTGCACCTTTTCTAGCAGTTTCCTGCGGCCTTTGATCATCCTTTTGTCTTTGCTTCTCGGCCCCCATCTTTCTCTTCTATGCTTTAAAGCGATGGAGAAGAAAATAGAGGATTGGTTTCCTATTTTTCATTAATTTTCTACCGAGCGAGCCTTTTCACCAGGCCCAGGGTAGGCATGGTAGAAGATTTGATGCTCAAACTGAAGAAGAGAGATCTTGGCGTTACCTAAAGAACACATCGCATCTGTTCGGATTGCACTGGAACTCCAGCTGAGCATAATGTTGCTGCCATCTCCTGAAGACTTCTGCCCGAGGTGCCCAGCTGCCCGTGGGCACCGCCGTTGAGTTGATTCTGTTTCATAGCTACTCAGTTCAGGGTTTCCGAAACTCTAAATCTTTGTGGGAACCGACAACTTCATCCTTCTTCCTAGGAGCATCTGAAGCCTTTGAATTGCCCACCTTCCCTTTAGGCATCGAAACTTAACCGACGGTGCCACTGGTACTCCTATGGGCAGACCATGCCCAAAACCGCAAACTCAGTGCCGGCAAGTCGGTGCTGACTTTTAGCGACCCCTGTAGGACAGGGTAGAGCGGCTCCTTTGGGTCTCCGAGACTGTTAACTCTTTGCGGGAGTAGGAAGCCCAGCCTTTCTCCTGTGGAGCGGCTGGTGGTTTCAAATGGCTGACCTTTCGGATCACAATCTCGTTGCCACCTGGGGCTCCTACACCGGCAGACCGGTAAGGCCCAAAACGTTATGTTGGCTTGCCCACTGGATTTGTGTGTGTGTGTGTGGGGGGTGTCTGTTTATTTAAGAATTTATGATAATTCTTTAATTTTATATTCCCTCACAAGGTAAGAAAGATAATTGAAATACATTGAGATTTGAGTTCTAATAGTTTAAGCCCCATTTTGAATTGTAAGAGTCTTTGTTTTATAGAATGTCAAACTGTACTGGAGGGGGGTCTATGGGTAGGGAAAATGTCTTGAGAGCCAGGCATAGATAGATCTGAAGGAGTTTTTATAGTCTCCTAGGTGAAATGCCTTTGTTCACATTAATCTCTTTGTCTCCTCTAGATATGAAGGAGGAAAAGTGACAAAGCAAAGGAGCCTCCTCACATTCAAGTTACTAATTGAATAAAGCTTGATATAAATTTGTCCCAACTGAGTCTTCCTTGAAGGATCCCTAATGTTCCTGATGCCAGAAATGTTGGGGGGAGAGGGGGGCGGGGCATGTTTCGCCAAGTTCATGGGAGATTTCCATTACCTTCCAGTTCCATTTTTCCACAAATTTTCTGATGTGGCACCTTCCTGTGACAGGTGGACCATGGCTCATGTTTATGCCATCCAGCATCTCCGCTCTGGCTCTCATTCCTTTAACTTAATCAAATGCTGTATTCTTAGCTGGGCAAAATCAAGTGTAAACTTGTGGGTCTTCTTTTAAGTACTAGTCATGCGTTCTCATCGTCTTCTTGGGTCTTGAAACCACAAATTAAACTTCGGAAGTGCAGAGTTGTGATTTGATGTAGGTTACTAATGAGAATAGATACACATGCACACAAGCCAACAGACTTCCTAGTGTTGCATTTGCTATGAGAGATATGGCAAGGCTCTGCTACAGTGATGAATAACTGGTTATCTAGCAATTCGGCATATAACTCAAGAGTTTGGATGTGGTACACAGAGTTAGAGCAAGTCTCTGGACCCATCATAAGCTATTCTTAATTTTAAGATGGTCTGGCTTTTTATGCTCGCCCTTCAAGCACATGTCATGCAATTCCGTATTCCACTCATATCAAGAAGATCAATTCTAGGGCATTTTCTTCCTTGTACTCATTTATTTGTGGAATTTTTTTTAATTGGCAAGAATATACACAACAAAACATTCTCCAATTCAACAACTTCTACATAAATAATTCGGTGCTATTATACTTTTAATATGTATTTTTTTAAGACCTTGAAGCTCACTCCTTTCTCTACTTTTAGGTGGAGGATGATGACCTATTCCTCAGATTTAATATCTTCTCTCCTTTCTACCATTTTATGGTCTTTAATCAGTTACCTTTTGCCACTGGGTCGAGAGCATCTCCCGTGTGAATCAGATGTCTCAACCCGGTGTAATTCTTTTCAACTAGCTGTTTCTCTCCTTTGCATGAAAATATAGCACTGGCTCCCAGCCAGGATTTGGCCAAGTATCTGGCTTGATGAAACCAATAGACCATCGATCCTGCTCTTGGCAGAAGACTCTGAAGGGCCCTGTGAGGGCTCACAAGTGGATGGACAAATCCTAGACTGCTCTGTTGGGAGGTGCTTTGCAGAGTGATTTTAGTTTTACCCTAGTAGAAGGAAAGGATCTTGCCTTCTGGGCCTAGGAAATGCACTTTCTTAAAATTTGTTAGTGAGAAAGCTGAGATTGATACCTAGTGGTATTTGTATTTTTGTAATCTTTTGGTCTCGTCGGGCCCAGGATCAGGTGGAAACCAGATCTGGTTGTTTTGGTCTGTTTCTGTCCCTCCAGTAACCAAGCACACTGTCTGTGTGAGCCATTGGTGATCACCACACAAAGGAGACTTCCCACAAGGGCTCTAAGAGTAACCAGTCACTTCCTATGACTTGGCGGTGATGACCCCTAATCTTGAAGACTAAGTGGAAGAATCTTTAATTTGTAGGGGAAAGGGTACAGATCAATTATTTGTTTATTTCTGTGGATTTTAATCCAAACACACTGTCATCAAGTCAGTTCCAACTTGTTGTGACCCCAGATAGAGTTTCCAAGACTGTAAATCTTTACTGGAGCAGACCTCATTTTCCTCCTGCAAAGCAGCTGTTGAATTTGAACCACCAACCTTGCAGTTAGCAACCTAACACCTAATTCAGAGTGTCACCTGGATTCCTTCAATTGTCAGCTCCTTGCTAAATGCATAAACAAAAAAGGTTAGTATGTTTTAACTAGACTTGAGAAGCAAATATCTTAGAAAGTGAAAGTTGCTGTAGTCATCTAGCTCTGCAAACTGGCATCTTCAGAGAAACAGCTCCCCTGTAGTTAGTTTTCTTTTCTAGAATGGCCTGTCGCTTAAGCCAAGGAAGTGAATGTATGAGAGATCTACCCGATGCGAGTCATGAGCTGTGAATCTGAAAAGCATTAAGAGAGGTGCTTCCTTGAGACATTTTCTAGAGGTGCTGTGTTTACCCTTTGCCCTGAGATGTTAAAATCAGAGATTTCAACAATCCTTTTAAGTAGCTAAAGTCTGTGTTGGAGTCTGAGCTAACTAACCAGCGTTCATTAGAGAAAGGAAAGGTGCTGGTCACCTCCCTCGGGCAGCACTCCCATACTGAATTGGGAGGCACATTAAAACATCTGGAAGTTCCCGTGCTCTGCCGGTTTCCAGCAGATCAGTACCCTTTCCGTTTTCTTAGGGAGGCTGAGGTTGAGTGTTACTCGCAGGGTTTGCAGGAATTTGGATAGACCTTAATAGAGTAGAACCCAGTATGTCTCAGTCTGTTACAGTTTTCTGCTAATGATTCTGACTCATTTGATAAGTGTTATATCAAACATTTTATAAACTAGTGATTTAAAACTCTGGAGAGGTTGTGAACCCCCAAAGATCTCTTAGATCAGTGTCTTACATTCATTGGTAAGATCATGACTGATGACAATGTCCATTTATTTCGAGTCTTTATGTCTTAGAAGAATGAACTCTTCTTTCCCTCTTTTTTCTACTGTCTCTGCTTCTAAGAGCATCGTCTCTGAGTGGTGGGTTGATCTTGAATTCTTCAGGTCAACCTAGCACAGGCTTAGAGCTAAATGTAGACCCCAGTTCATTGTCTTCTTTTGCTTATTGTTGATTGTTAGAAACAAAGGCATCTTCCCCTCATCATTTGGCCTTGACTTAGTCTTTTTTGTCATGCTCTCAACCTTTTTTTTTTTTTCTTTCTCGCCACCATTCTGCTGAACTGGGGTCAGGGAAAATCCTCCCTCACTTGTTCGGCTTTCAGATGCTGCCCAGATATCTGTGTTGATTTCCCATCCTAGGTGCCCAGAGCAACGATCCTGTTGGCTGGAGATGTGGTTTCTGCTTCTCATGGGCACTTTTCTGGCTCTCTTGCAGTGTAGCATAAGCACTGTCCACCTGCGAAAGGAGCCCCTCAAGGATCCAGACGCACTCCTGGGCATGTGGCGGGCACTGAGCCGAGCGGAAGGCGGCCACGCTCGGAAAAAGGCCAGTGGTGGAGTTTTCATTTTTCTTTCAGCTGTGGTTTTGTGATGCTTTCCAACCCCATAAGCAAAGGGGAACCTCTCCAGACCTCTATGTGGAGCTACCTCCTTTCCCAAACAGACCTTGTTGACGTTTCTTCCTGCCGGAGCCTCCTAAGTCCTGACTGTTAAAGCACTGCCCAGTCTCCTGTCTCTAGTAAGTCTTGAGGACCAGTAGAGTGTATTTCTTAGCTTGTCCTTTGTCCTCCTTGCTCGCCTTTGAAATTTCCCTTCTAAGCAAGTTTTAGAAAGGTAATACTATGGTTCCCAAGTGGAACAGAATGGGAGCAATGATAGCAACAGGGGAAAAGACGAAAGAACGAGGCAAGGGTTTCTTAGGAAGTCAGGATGCCATTGACAGTCTTTTGGATTGAACTAAAAGGTATCATCAAGAGCCTAGAGTCAGTGGGAAACCCAGAATAACAGAATGGTCCGTCCTCATTTTACCTTGGGAAAAGGAAGTGTGAGATTACATTTCCTCGGGAACATAGTTTAGGAAGCTAACTCCATATACACAGGCATAATCCCATTGGCTTAATGTTATAGATTAAATCTATTTAATCTGTGTTGGTCTTTGCCAAGCAAGACAAAATAAAAGTTACATGTTGGCATCTCTGTATTTTCCTTATTTAAGCATCCCAAATAAGTTATCTCGCTGTTCTTTTTAATGCTTTTAGAGAATTATGTTAAAGACAACACATACACACACACACACACTAGCGTATATACCAGTGCTTTTTCCTATAGCTTTGCGAGTTGTACTTTTAAAAATATATATATATATTTATTTATTTATATATATTATGTTAAGTGTATGGCTACTTGGTAGGAGGCAGTGATACATAGGAACAACTATTGATTTAATTTAAACATAAAAAACTTTAGGGGTCTACCAGCACTACCCCTTTTTCTTTTCCTACTAAACATTAGTCTTATGGCATAGAATTTCACCATGTCATACAAGCACTGTTGATCCTAAGAATCAATTCTTCATATAGCTTTCTGTAAAGCAAAGTTTTATGGATAGAAAACTCTTCTGTGATGACTATTTCTGTGCATTTGTAATAGATATGGAGTTTAATAAAATAATTGGTATTTTCCCTTCTATATGCCCATATGACATGATAGAAATTGTTTCTGAGACTCTGGAAGCCTGTAGAAAAGGAAATCTAGTCTCTCCATCCGTTCTGTAACTTATTTTTAGTTGAGGAGGGTGATCTTTGCAGATTCTCTTCCCCACTAAGGCTTTTGAAAAGAAGTTGGTGTGGCCCTGACTTGTCAGCTTCCTCCTACCTGTTTGGAGAAAATAAACTCAGACAAAATCCATCTTTTGATGCTTGCTGGAGGTGCTGATAACACTGAACTCCACCTGGACCTTCATCTTCTGGTAATCTTTCTTCTCATCCTGTATGACCGTTCAGCATTGTGTCATGCAAGGTGATCAGAAGTTAGAGTGTGATCTTTGATAGGCTACTAAATAAGATTAATCTACTGGTGTCCAAACTCCTAGCCAGTGTCATACTAGAATGCTACCTTCTCTTAGAACAGATACAGACAAAATGTGTTCACTTTAACCTTTTCTCTGAAAAGAATAGACTTTAATTCCTCCAGCTGCTGAGCAAGGACCCACTAACTGACGGGAGCAGGGTATAAGATTTGCTTGGCCTTCATCCACTCAGGACTCTCCTGACAGGTGCCGGTGAGGAGTAATAGAAAATGCATGATTGTTTTTTCCTTCTGTGAGTCTAGTACCTGGCCTATAAGAATGTCAAGATTTTCGGTGGAAAGATAACTGTTCAGTTTTGTTTCAGTTTTAGAATGAAAGTTCTTTTGAATTCTTGTCAGAAAGTTTCGTTTTATTTCTCAGTATCTTTTTTCACCCTGTATGATCAAACGTTTTATTC